GGCGGGATTCCGCGCGGGGGGCTGGCGGCGGGGGTAAGATCCGTTGCAGCTAACTGACAATCAACCGGCACGAAAACCCTCACTGGCTCGCCGCGGAATGCGAGGTTACGTAAATGAAAGTTCTGATTGAATTGATAAAACTGTAAAGCTAATGCAAGGTGCCAACAGTCAAAAGTTAATCAATTGCTATCTTCTCTCTTGCACGAGACTAAGAGATGTGTTATTTATCGGTTGCGAAATGCGAATGAAACACCGCAAAATCGTAACCTTTTGTTCCTTCTTAACACTTCTTGATCTCTTACACACCTCGTTAAACTCGCGTTTTATCGTTTAAAGAAAACGAACGGCAGAAAGTTTTATAAATGTGATCGTCTACAACAATAGTTCGTTATTTTTATGGCGATAAACCACAAAAGACCCGCACTGGTTTTATCAATTAACGTAAATCGATAAGAAATAATCGAAACGCAACTGGTATTTTATTTTATTCAAATTCTGAAATCAGTCTCTGATTTCTCCAGAAATTAATCCGAAAAGTCACATAAAAGCGAAGCACAAGAGTCTCAGGTTGCACGAGATCACTCTCCGCGTCCTCTGCCAGGAAGCACGGGCAGCCGACGCCCCTGTCACGCGATTGGCACAGCCGTGTGCAACATTAGGAAGTGTTCGATTTCCAGCAATGTCCCTCACAATAAATCCCGAGTAGTCCCATTTTGAACCGTTCGGTGTCACAACATACGAATACGAGACAGTTCGGGGGCTCGAACGGGTTCGAGCGGTAGCCGCCTCTCGCAGTCTGTCAGAGCGGAAGCGGCGATGAGCGCGTTGGCGACAGCGACGGGAACTCCGGAAGCCACGGGTCGGCGCGGTCTGAGAACGGCGGGTGCAACAGCGGCGGCGGCAGCGCGAGCGAACACAGACGACTTCTGGCACGAACTGAGGCCTCCGCGGGTACGACAAGGCCCTATAAAGCCGCCCGGCTTATCTGCGTGACCTCTTGATCCGAGAGGTCGCCGACGGCCATCTGCGACGGCTAAGGCTGCTGCGCAAACAAGGTTCCCCCTCCCCCA